TGATAACCTAGAAAGATACCATGCAATCCACGCTTGTCTAACTTGGAGTTTTGTGGTGAGCGAACCCACATGTCAGAACCAAAAATCTTCATGTGTTTGATGTATGGCTTCTTGCCAAACATCTTCTCATAGAGGTACAACCGATCGCTGAAGATAGCCTGCGATTGTAACTGTAAACAAAACACGAGAGAGATTCGGCCCAATAACTCTCTGGAAGATTGGCATCATGCAGCAAGGTTTTTAACCCTTGAAGCAATGTCTGATTTGCCCGTTCCGCAAGTCCATTCTGCCATGGCGAGCGAGGACTAGACAAATCGTGTTGAATTCCTTTCTCAGTCAGAAAAGCTTCAAACTGCTGAGAAGTGAATTCCCCCCCGCGATCACTGAAAAGAGTCTTTATCTTCTTACCATGCACATTTTCCAACCAAGCACAGAATTCCTTGAACCTAGGAAAAGCCTCTGACTTCTGCTTGAGATTGTACACAAAAATATATCTAGAAAATGCATCAATGAGAACCATGAAGTATCTATTTCCACCCAAAGAGGGCGTTAGTGGTCCAACCAAATCAGCATGAACAACCTGGTATGGTTCTGTAGCTTTCCTACTAGACACCTTACCTTTCGCAGCCATTTTCACTTTGTTTGCTGCGCATGCTTTGCACTTCATGTGGTACCTGCAGGGTTTAATAGTCATACCTTCAACCAAGGCAGGCATTTTAGATACTGCCTCAAAATGCAAATGACCAAATTTGCGATGAAAATCGTGAATACATTCTGCATGCAAACTTTTGTTAGAACCTGCAATGCAACAAGTGTCATCCTGCACCACATCATCATAATACAAAACAAACAAATGATCAACATATTCTGCATGCAATACATAATCATTTTTCTTTGTGATGATGCACTTCTTGTTCTTGAAGGAAACGTCAATGTTCCGCTCATTCAGCTGTCCAACGCTGAGCAGATTATGTTTGGCGTCTGGCACGTAAAGCACATTCTGTATCGATAAGTCCAAACTGTGAAGAACAACAGTTCCGTAGCCTTTACTGGGAATAGTGTGGTCATCCGCCTGGTGAATCGCACCTTCCTGCGGTGTAAAAGACACAAACAGTTTCTTATCGTTGCACATGTGGTGGGTGGCCGCTGAATCAACAACGAAGAAAGATCTAGACGTCTTCTGGACCTCTGCAACCTTTGGAGTGAAGCGTGAAACCATAGCCTTGTGCTGCGTTGTCCTAGACACCGGACCTTTGCCTTTGCCTCGGCCTTTTCCGCGCGATGAGCTTTCGCTGCGCTGCTCTGTCTTGGCCCTGGGATGTCTGCATTCCCTCTTCATATGGCCTAGACGTCCACATGAGTAGCATTTCACTGCCTTCATAGCTTTGGCGCCATCTGGTGGTTCCACTGCACTATGGGATGACGTCTGTGAAGACTCTCCCTTGCCCATGCAGCTAGCACCCCGGCGATCTGCTTCATTCAAAATCATGGCAGTAACAAAGTCCACTGTCAGCTGAGCAGTTGGTTGCACAGCAATCTGGGTTGCAACAGACTCCCAACCTGAACCCAAAGATTGTAGTATCATGAGAGAATACACAGCCTCTGGAAAGTTGAGTCCTCTCTGTTGCAGCTCATGTCTCAGATTTTGCATCTGCATCAGATGTAAACGCACATCTCCACCTTCAGCAAGAGCCATATTATGCAGCTTGTTAAAATAAAACATAGTGGATCCAGCTTCTGTCCTTAAGTGAGCCTCTCTCAGAGCGTCCCAAATTTCTCTGGCTGAGGTCTTATCACGCAATAGACAGAGCTCTTCTGGGGATACTATCAATGTAAGAGTTCCCTTGCTTTGGAATCCTTAGCTTCCCATGCATCTGTAACTGGAACTGGGGGGGTTCCTGTAATCACCTCAAACAAACCCTCTTTCCGCAGAATTGCCTCTGCATACTGAACCCAGTCGCTGTAATTATTCTTGTTGAGCTTAGGAATCCCACAAGCATCCTGAAGGGCCATCATGACTCTGGCATTAGCCTCCAGCGTCATTATATGCTGCTTTAAATCTTGCTGCGTCACTGCTGCAGCTGCCTGATTACAAAGGCACACTTAAAAGTTACTTTCGATTTCCCCAGCATAGTGACTTGTGCCTGGGAGCCTTTTGCCTATTTGCAAAACCGGCTTTAAAAGTTCAAAGTCCAGCCATAAAGCCATTAACTTGAAGCTGGCAGGCTGCCCGGAGCAGTAGCACATACCTCATCAATCACTTCTACGCGCAGAGCAGATTCCTTTCCGATCCGTCCCTCTGCATTCCGATCCCTTGCCGGCACTCCGATTCGACCTCTGGAGTCCATAACCACGTGTTGATTTAAAGCAGAGTCTGTCGTGCCCAACGGAAGGATGAGGAAAATGTGTTACATACTCTTTATTGCTTTATTTACAGTTCAAAGCTGGTATATTACAGAAAGACATCTTGCCTCTGCAAGAGCAGAAAATGCATCCTCTCTCTTCGACCAGCTCGGAGAGAAAACACACAGAGTGAAAAAAACAGGAAACCAGTGTACGTCACATCCAGTCTCCCTTTCCCGTGAGAAACTCCAACAGTACAGACTGTGGAATGTAAAACAATGTCTTGTGACTGCAGTTGCTGCTCAGTGAGGGAAATAGAAACCAACAAGGAGGACATAAAGTAAATTAGGGCAATTTAAGGCTACAATCCTATATACGTTTACCTGAAAGTACGCTGTGATTTGGAGCCAAATTTATTCTTACATATATACACGGAAAGAACAGAAGGACCTCTTCAGTAAGCCTAACTCTCTTTCCATTCACATAGCAAAATGTTAGGATCCAAGCCAGTGGGACTGTGAGTAGACAAGTATAGGATTGCACTGTAAGAGACCCAAAAGTTGAGGTCATGGAGAAACAAAATCAAAAGAGAAATTAAATTGAATGTGGCAAGAAAGTTGGTTCCAGACAAAGCCATTAAACTTACATGGTTTGCATGGCCTGGCCAAATCAGTACCAGTCAGACTGGTACCAGCGTTTTAACACACTGCCTTATTACGTTTTTCCCAACTGTCTGTGTTGTCAACACAACTGTGTTTAAAGTTGTAGACAGGAAAACTGACTCAGTTCTGGAACCTCTTCTTTTGCCATTCCTTATTATCTTAATATCCATATGTTTGATATTACTCAGTTACTTAATTTGGGCTCCAATTGCTAGAAAGATCCACTAAATATTATTACCACTTGATTATTATTAACATTATTGGGAAAACATACATAAAACCAATAATGTCAAACTTAGTTAGAAAAAAATGCTTCCCCAGTTCCCAGCACTGCATGTCTGAAACTGAGCCTTAAATATGGTATTGGTATGTTTCACAAAGTCTAAATTTATTTATTTTTTAAATAAATCAGTTCCAAGCTGTTAGGGGCAGGAAACTGCCTTATGTTTGACTGTAGTACACTGATAATGAAATAACAATAATCATAATACTTTTATTATTTATATGCTAATCTGAGTGGGTTGCCGCAACCACTCTGGGTGGCTCCCAACAAAATATTAAAAACACAACAAAACATCAAACTGTAAAAACTGCCCTACACAGGGCTGCCATTAGATGTCTTCTAAAAGTCATCTTTATTCCTTGATTGTTTATTCCTTGATGATGATAATAAATTTACTATTATTAAGCTTTCGTAAGAAAGCTTTGACATTCAAATTATTGACAATGGCTTATATTGTCAGAACGGTTGTTCAATTATCAATGGCTGACATCTAATCAGAGTCTGAGATCTAGTTAAAATATGGCTTCTCCTAGCTTTATAGGCATCATTTTTAGAAACTGCTTGGGAAATTTCCCAGAGAAGAAAATATATGTGTCTCCAGGAAATGGGTTTGAGTTAGCAGGTGGGGTTTATGCCTTGGGAGACAGCACTGAATCAGTGTTTCAGAATATGATAGTAGGACAATGCAGTCTTTGGTGTGATGAGGAAGGCACATGAATGGAAGCCCTGACCATTTGTGGTCTTTTAAAATATTTTGGCACACTTTGCATAAGGATTTCATTCTTGATGGCTTGGCCCAACTCCAGTGTGGAGTTGCGGTTTCAATTAGATTAGAAGATTTTACTTGCTACAGAAATATTCCTGTGCAGCGTTAAATGCACTGCTCTGTGCTCAGTTGAAACAATTATGAGGATATCGCCAATGTAATGATAAACATCACTCATCACGATCCAATATACGTTAACCTAGAATACCAAATACATGCCTTAGAGCAGGATATAATTAACAGTTCTAAACCTATTTGACAGTTGGGCTCAGCAACTGGGTGCCAGATCCGTCCTGCTGATGGGTGCCATCTAGTCCCCCAGTCACCATTCCAGAGACAAAACTCTGGAGTAGCATTTGTTGCAGTAAGACTTAGAAGCAGACAGAGAGGGGGATTTGGCTTTGACCTCCTTATCAAAGTAACCTGTTGGGAAAACCAGTTGCAGACCAGGGATCCAACACGCTGCTAGTGCTAGCCACACAGCCAATTATGCAACTTGAAAAGAGGAAGTTACCAGTCATCTTTGTATATTAGCGGGCGCATCTAATAGACTGAGAATTCCTTGTGTGAGCAGTAAGAACTTTCAGAGTTCAGTGGTACCTCGGGTTACAGACGCTTTAGGTTACAGACTCCGCTAACCCAGAAATAGTACCTCAGGTTAAGAACTTTGCTTCAGGATGAGAACAGAAATCGTGTGCCAGTGGCGTGGTGGCAGCGGGAGGCCCCATTAGCTAAAGTGGTACCTCAGGTTAAGAACAGTTTCAGGTTAAGAACAGACCTCTGGAACGAATTAAGTTCTTAACCAGAGGTACCACTGTAGACTTTTAAAGTCATACTTACTGTTATGCATTACCTGGGTAAGGTAATAATAATAATAATAATAATAATAATAATAATAATACTCAACCCATCTGGCTGGGTTTCCCCAGCCACTCTGGGCAGCTCCCAACAGAAAATTAAAAGCACAATAAAACTTCAAACATTAAAAACTCCCCTAAAAATCTCAAGGGCTCCAACCCTGGCAAGAGTGATCACCCTCGTTAAGATACCCTGCCCTAGATGCTGATAAATCTAAACAGTTTCTTATAATGGCCCCAGGAAGTTTCCTGCTAATTTTGCTATGTAGCCTAGTTGACTTCTTGAATATGGAGCTGTAGCTGGATTAAGAACATTGACCGCCCAGCTGTTGATCTGGGCAAATCTCAGAGCATAATATACCTATGATAACTACACTCCCAGTTAAGTTTCCAAGTACCATTCAAAGTGCTGTTTGTTTCTCTCTAAAGCCATAAACTTTCAGCATCCGCTATGTCTCAGAAAGCAGACCTCAACCGTGCGAGGCCACCTTGCTTATTCAGATTATCTAGGGGTTATTCAAGCCCCTCCCACAATCTAGTGCATTTGGCTGGGCCTATCATGCTACACTGTTACATCCACTAGGGGAAATGCAACTATATCCCTCAAAGGACAAACTGTGATTGGAGCACGCTTGGAGATTGTGTAGGAAAGGCCTTGCAGAAGGTCTCTAGTCTAAAAAGGATCTCAATTCCAAGAATCCTCATCAAAAGTCATACATTTGCATACCAGTTAATAAATAACCCAGAAGATTGATGCACTGGTGATATTTGGAACTGGCTCTATCATCACAAAAGTAATAGCAGAAAAAAGAATCCAATGAAAAATTCATACAAAAATAAATGTATATGATCTGTCAAATCTGCATGGAGTTAAAAAAACAGCAGCATTAATTAGTCTAGAAGAATATGAGGTGCAAAATCTGCCTTAACCCATAAAGGGATTAATTCTTACTTACTTGCATGAGCATACTTTAATATCCATTTGGTTCTTTAAATATTTAATCTTTTAAAGTATATTATGTGGCTGAATTCATTATTGTTTGTTAAATGCTTCCAGTTTCTTATATAAAATACGTTAAAGTGCAAATAGGTGTTTAATATAGCCTTAAAATTAAAATTTGGCTATTAAATAGCACATTAACCAATTAATCGCATTCAGATTTTGCTAAATTGCATTTTCTATCCATCATAATAAAATAAAACATGCTTTAAGGACATACTAACCCTGTCTTGGCCATCTCAGTTGGTAAGTTTGCCAGTTTATTATTAGCTTTTATCATTGTCCTTACGTATTCATTTAAGTCTGTTTAAATTAATGGATATATGAATTTTTAGCTTTGATTTTACACTGGTGAAGTGGCAATATGCTTTGGCACATGATGTTTGTCTTTTTTGGTTTGGGTTTTTAAAAAATATTATTTTAGGCTATATATGAGTGCAATTTCTAATTTTTATTAGAACTGAGCAAATGCTTCACACCTTCAGGGCTTTTCCTGAGTATCGCCATTTTCCTCAAATGTTTTTCTTTCCCTTTAATTTCCTGAACTGACTATAGTTTCTCTTTGCTTGGTTTTTTTTTTTTTTTTTGTTCTGTCCAGAGGAAAAATATGGGGGGCGGCGAAATGTAATTGTATTTGGGGTTTTTTAAAACCTGTTTAATGAGCAGAACACCTTGACTTCTTCACATTCCTCCTGACCTATGCCCTGCAGTGATCATTGACCACCAGCCCACAGGGCATATGTATGTAGTCTCTGCATACTTCTAAGAGAGTCAGATTTTTAAACTCACATTCTTGTAGAAATCAGTAACAAGAGTTTCAGGAGCGGGGAATTTTAAGCTTTTCATATTTTTCTTGCTGGCTCTTTGCCATTCCTGGAATGGCCCCGTCTTCACGTCTGGATGCCATGCAATTGTTCAGAAAGCCACTAAGAATTGACAAGGAAGAGACTAGGAAATTGCCTTCTAATGTTGAAATCATGCAAAGTGCTAGACAGCCAAAGGCTTCTTCTCCACTATGAAATATTTTTCCCCTAGCATCTGTAAAACACCTTTTAAAAAATGGTTTTCAGATTCCTATTTGGATTGGCCAAAGAAGCTGTGGTAATTCTGTGGTAATGCCCAGTGAGGCATCCACCAAATAAATTTCCTCATGGACACAGCAGGGGAGCAAAGAGTTAAATCCTCCTCTGTGTCTGCCATAATGCAGTGGTACCTCGGGTTAAGAACTTAATTCGTTCCGGAGGTCCGTTCTTAACCTGAAACTGTTCTTAACCTGAGGTACCACTTTAGCTAATGGGGCCTCCCGCTGCCGCCACGCGATATCTGTTCTCATCCTAAAGCAAAGTTCTTAACCCGAGGTACTATTTCTGGGTTAGCGGAGTCTGTAAGCTGAAGCGTCTGTAACCCGAGGCACCACTGTACCAACAAATTATCAGCACGCACACACACACATGCTGGTGCTATTTGCATTTTTAAAAAACCTGTATATTAAATGCAAAAATACATCTAAACTCAAGTTTAGTTTGGCCCTTATCAGGAATAAAAGTTCAGATTGCAGCTTCCAGATGGTTTGCTCATCTTTGTTCACATACAAACTAGTTTGTTTGAAACCAGAAGCAATGAAGTGATGGGGGGGGGCGAGAGAAATCAATTTCCTCCTTCCCTTTCCTTGAACTGATTTTGCCTAGGAAGCTGGAAATATTTCAGTTCCTTTAAAAAGTATCATGTTATAGACAGGAATCTTTAAAAAAAAAAACTTTTTAAGCTGGCAAAATAATTTTGTTTTTTAAGAAAGGGCTTACTGGAACTCCACCCTGTCGCGCCAGCTTTTTAACGGTACTGGCAGAGCCCATAAGCAGGTTTCCTGTATTGAGTGAGGTAGAATAAACATACCTTATTCCCAACTGCTATTTCAAAGACTTTGACAAATGCCAGAAACTAATTATTTTTGCTCAGTTCAGTCTTGATCACCACATTGCAGAGATGCTCTGAGTACAGTCTCAGTACAGATGCTGGTGTATATGTATTGGCAATTTAAAGGGCCACCATTTATGGCCGGAATCTTCAAAACCTCAGGAGATGTGAGAGAACCAGAACATCACTTATCTGAGAGATAACAACCACAATCCAACAACGTTTAAAGCTTTAAGTGCATTTAATTCTGTGCTGGAGTTTGGCCAGCAAAATCCTCTCTGCAGCATGGATTTGGTACAGCTTCTGAATCAGTTTCTGGTTGGCAATAATTTTCTTCTGGTAATGTGTTAAGACTAGAATTTCTAACTGGTTTCTTTTGAAAAGAAGCCATAAACCATAAGCCCCCATTTATCCAAACAAATGAAAGTGGTACACTTAAACAGCATTGGCATATCAGAGGATCATGTAAACACATTGATTGGCATTAATCTTTTTGCTGTTTTTTAGATCCTGGGAGCTTCAACAGTAGAATATTTCTGTTCTCTCATAGTAGCAGCCACAGAAGAAGTGTCTATCTGCTAGCCTTTCCCCAATCCAATAAAAGACGTATCTGAAATCTCTCTTTCCAGCTGATACTATGTTGATGATATGAATGACAGACCCAGTTACTAAGCCATTAAGTTCACCACATCATTCATCACACCCTTCATTTTGAAAAAACAAGGACTATGTGGTTTGACTTGATATTGATAGTTTAAATCATTATAAAAATATTTATTTCCTATAGTTATTTTTTTAAAAAAGACATCAAAATTTCCTGGGACAAAGAAGTAAGTGTAGCTTTATTTGTTTATTTCTAAGTGATCATTTTGTTTTATGAGCACATTCCTTAGTTTCTCCTTCCACCTTCTATGGCATTGTGTGCTTCTGAATTAATCATCTGGAAATTAGCCCATTTTCACCTTGCCACAGTTGTGAGATCAGTGTGTGCATTAGGGGGAAAAAATTGGGGTATTAATGTAGGGAAAGGGAATCGGAATCAGTTTGATTTCTTCTTGTGGTGGTGACGAAGATGGGTAGTTTTCCCTGTGTTTTCCAACAAAATATATATTGTTGGCATGTGCTACTGCTGTTTATTCTCTGCTTTCCAAATATGCAAATGACTTAGTCCGCTGGCTGGGCTTTCCCATTAGCTCACAATGATGTACAGTGCAGAGACACAGCAGATTGCATTATTTCCTTCTCCTCAGAATACCCAGGAAGTCCTTGCTGATGTCATTGTTGGCTTTCCTACTCACCAGCATGTGAAAAGAAGGCATGTGAGATCAGCGAGGGAAACAAATGCTACAGCCAAAAGTCGAAGGGCAGGAACATCATGATGAATAAACCAAGTATCCTAATACGTCTTTCTTTTGACAATTGTGTTGCTTCAAATTAGCACAACACTCATTTGGCCAGATGCGATTGCAGTTGTAGAATGATCTCATCAGCACAAACAAAATTTGCTGATAGCAAATGTTATCAGTGCCTACCAGATAACATGCCAAAAGGACACCTGAATTGCCATCTCTAGAAGATATAGCAGCATAGCTTTGTATGTCATGACTGGAGTATGTTTCCAGAGAGCGTGCGTAGATGCTCAGATCTGTAACAGAAACACTATCCAACCTTCTCTCAAACACATCTTTTCTCTATCCATTGTGGGCTGAATCAGACAATGTGGAACCAATGACTCTCCTGCACATGAGGTGAGAAAAAGAGAGAGTACACACACATTACTTCTTCTGCCCCACCCCTGATGTTACCATCCTTCCATGTGAAGGCAACCTATCTAATCCACCATCCTTTTCCCAACTAGAGATGAGCCTGAGACCTTTGAAAAGCACACAAAGGGATGAGGGCAGCAACATTGCCTGTTTGTGCCCAGCATCTGGTATTCAGAAGTCCACTGAACTCACTTCGTAGTCTACACTCAGTTCCTATTATCTTGACCAAAGCTGGAAGTGCTTAAAACAATCTGCCCTGCTACAATTGTGCAATAGCAGTTTATGTACAGATCACTTGTTTTGCCCAATGCAGCATTACAGTCTTTTGAAAACTGAATGAAGGGGCTTTTATTTCTCATTGATCCTGACCATTGTTTCTTTCTGGCACATACAGGCAGCAGCCCGAGCGATAGTTTCTTAGAGCCCTTTTATTCTGCCTTTACCATTCTAGTGCTAACCTAACAGAACTAATTGGCTCAACCTTCACTGATAATGACCTCATTTTCATTGCATTGTATAATGCTAGAACTCATTTTGTCCAGTGTGGTGGTGTAAGTGTCGATGCTAAGTTGACATATGGTCTCTTCTGCCGCCAGAATCATTGGGCTAGAAGTGACCAGACAGTCTTCTATTTCAGCCTTTGTCTTGTGGAAAGATTCTGCAAACATCCTTGTGCAAAGCAGCTTATATATGTTAGACCACATTTTGACACAAATCATATGGAGCAAATTATATTCCAGATGTTGAGGCAAATGCTGAGCATGAAACCAAACCCAGGATTATATCCTACTAAGTTTTGCTCAGAGTATCAGTTCTGCTCAGAGTTGTATCCTACCAAGTTCTGCAAGGGACGTTTATGGGCACAAGTCTACTTTGCACAACATGCTTATCTCTACTTGTAACAGCCCGACTGCTAAACAAGTGATTTAGATAGGTGGGGACCTATTCTTTGTTATTTAAGAGACTTCAGAGGTCTCCAATCCAGGTACAGTTGCTAATTCTACGACTCTTAGGCATGTTGAGAGGCCCTACAAGATAGCAGAAGATGTGACTGACCACTTTGATTGGGTCGTGCTCAGTTCTGGAAGTTCACCGGGAATGAAGATGGGTTGGATTGATCTTACTTACTTCTCATAAGTCAGCACTGTGGCTTGCCACAGAGGAAGTGGTACAGAGATGGAGCGGCACACACTTTTGACCATTCTTCCTCTTTCTTCTGTGTTGTTTTATTTATCCTGGTGCTTTCTAACAGGCATGTTTTCTCTTCTCTGTCTCTTTTTAGGTGTACTTTCTCTGCCTGCATACTTCAGTCCTTACAACGATGGCTCCATGTGCAGTAATGGAAGAGCTGATGCTTACGCCCAGCTAGAACTTAGAACTTTAGAACAGTCTCTCCTGGCAACTTGTGTTGGAAGCATCTCCGAACTGAGTGAGTTCCACCCACATATGATTGCTTGTTTTCAAAAAATATGGGACCCTTCCATATTGAACTTAGAGGAAATCTTGATGTTGGTTTTGCTATTCTTTTGCTTGGGCCCATGTTGTGCAAGCTTTTGGTGTTTTGGGATATTACTCAGGAAAATTCAGATTCCCCCACTGGGTATTTTAAATATAATTTCCTATAGTGATCTTTATTTGCTTAATTGTTGTCTGTGTACATTATGCTTTACAAATAAAGGCCTGAGAGCCCCCTTTCTCAGCAGGTTTGCAATCTTAGACACAGGAAGGAAACAGAGGAAGAAGAGGAAAGTGATGGAGGCAGAGATTATTGCAGTTACACATACCCTCAGGATCCCTTCCAACTCTATGATTCTATGAATGTACTGTAGATAACCTATTCACTGCAAGTCTATAACATCATCATCATTAATTTGCATGCCACATTTCCATAATCAAAAAGTTAAATTTAAGTAACCGTGAACAACAAGCTACATCACATTACAGTGGTACCTCGGATTTACATATGCTTCAGCTTACATACACTTCAGGTTACAGACTCCGCTAACCTGTAAGTAGTACCTCAGGTTAAAAACTTTGCTTCAGGATTAGAACAGAAATTGTGCTCCAGCGGCACAGCAGCAGCAGGAGGCCCCATTAGCTAAAGTGGTGCTTCAGGTTAAGAACAGTTTCAGGTTAAGAACGGACCTCCGGAACGAATTAAGTACTTAACCTGAGGTACCACTGTAATGAAATTCAGCAATCCCCTGATCTAACAATAAAAATGCAATAACGTGATCTCCACAACTAAAATTGGACTCCGCTAAAACACCTAAATAACCCTTCACCTTGGTGGTCTCGAGTCTAGGCATCATGAAAGTCTTGAAAGACTTTCAACAGAAAATTTGTCTCTGGCACCTACAACTGTAACAGCTTTGGCTAGCTTTAGGTGGTGCATGATGGGCACAGCTCTGATCTCACAAAGAAGGGAATGGCCAAGGGTCCCGGGAGGAATGAATGGTCGGCTGCCTGCCCACTCAGCATCTTCCACCTGAGGCAACTACTTCACTCTGTCTAATGGTGGGGCGGGGTCTGCAGGAAACTTTCAGATGGCAGAAGGTGTGGAAATGGAGGAGCAAGGGTGACGACTACAAATGTGTCAGTATATAAGAGCAGAAATATGAAGGAGGCATGGCTGTGGAGGGTTTTGAAGGCAAAGAGGAGAAACTTTGAGGTGAGAAAGGTGACAGTGTGGTCAGGAAGCCATTTCCTTGCCTAGAAGAAGAAGAAGTGTTTGGATTTGATATCCCGCTTTATCACTACCCAAAGGAGTCTCAAAGCGGCTAACATTCTCCTTTCCCTTCCTCCCCCACAACCAGTGGCGTAGCGTGGGTTGTCAGCACCCGGGGCAAGGCAAGTAATTTGCGCCCCCTAACCCGTGGATTTTAGTAGGGGCAGAGAGCTGCGAGCGCGAGCGCGCACCCCCCAGATGTTGCGACCGGTGCGACCAGCCCCCCCTGCACCCCCCACGCTATGCCACTGCCCACAACAAACGCTCTGTGAGGTGAGTGAGGCTGAGAGGCTCTCTCTCCAGCCTAGAGCTGGAGGCATTAAAAACTTTTTACCTCTAACCATTTTCCCCCCAACTGTGCAATAGCAGTTTATGTCTGCACTTGTTTTGGCTTTTGCAGCATTGCCCCTGTTGTAGTAAACATGGGGCTGTATACTTCTGGCAAAATTGGGCATCTCAAATTATCTATCTCTGAGCTACATACACTGTGTGAGTTACAGATTGCTCACCCTGAATGCCTGATAAAACCCACTTTATATTTTTTTTACTACATTTATACCCTGCCTTTCCTCCATGGCATATGTGGTTCTCCCTCTCCTCATTTCCTCTTCACAACTCTACAGCTAGGCCTGAGGGGTTGTGACCGGAACAAGGCCACTCAGTGAGATTCATGGCTGCATGGGCATTTGAACCCTGGCCTCCCAAAACCTAGTCCAACACTCTAACCACTGCATCTTACTGGCTTCTTTTCTGAAGCTACCTGGAATTGTACAAAGAGGAGAGTTGTTAAGCACCTGGTGGGCTATAGCATTTGGCTGGCATGTGACAACCAGCCTAAAAACTGTGAGTTTGATAATGCTGTGAGTCAGGCGATTATTTGACCTTCGGCTTGGGAATGCACAAATGCCAAAGAGCCAGTTCTCCAGTTGAGCAGCCAATTTTGCCTTCTAGTTTTTGGGGTTTTTTTTTAAAAAAAAGCTTCCTCTAACTTCAATGTTTTCTATTCTTTTTTTAAGCAGAGGAAAATCATGAAAACGTTTTTTCATGCTAGGTTTGGAAAGTCTGTTTATATTTTGATTAATGCAAACTACGTTTTGGAGCCTGTGCTGCTGAACAATGACCCTTTAAGTTGTGCTTTGCTGGCTTATTTCTTCCTGGAAAAACATTCTTCTTGGCATTCCTCCCTTCGTCCACCACCATGCAAACGCTGCTGTCAGAAGCCAGCACATACCTTATAGGTCTCACCATTTATTTCACAACCTGCCTTAATTTGAGGTTTCACCCCCCCCCTTCTAAAAAAAAAAGGTTTTACATACCTCTGTATATTCTGTGACACAAGAGAGCACTTGTAGCAGAAGTCCATGATTGAATGCAGCTTCCTTTCCCTACTCTCTATTCGGCTGGCTCAGTGATTGTATTTAATGAATGGATCTCCTTATATATTTCCTTAGTAGCTTTATTTTTTAAAAAAAAAATGTGGTCAGAAGTTGCCAGTACAGCAAGGAGGGAATACTGGGTAAGGGATATGTGTATTATTCTGCACTGAAAATTTGAATTCCAGATGTACTTCTTGTATAAATTTGCAGCATTGCAGATTAGACCAACAGAAAATTCATATGATGTTAATGTGGCTACAATTTTTCAATTCTATTCAATATCCAACCTCAGGATTCAAGAATATTCAGCCTAATTGTGTGGGGTTTTTTACTCAGAAGTAAGTTCCACTGTGTTCAATTGGATTTACTTATGAGTAAATGTGCATAGGAATGCAGCCCTGCAGCCCAAGTCTTTTTGCATCTACTTAGAAGTACCATTGATGCCAATGCACATTATTCTCTAATAAAGAGCAAGCCTCAGAAACGCCTTAAGCATCCTAGTGTTTATGACTGCGATCTTGTTTCCTCTCTTCATTGGTTGGAAAGACACCCTTAGGTGTCTTTTCGGGAATCAACTTGACTCGTTGCAATTTTCTACCCTTTACCAGCATTGTAATCATTAAAGAACAATGGAAGACTCTTTCCTGCTGTAGCTTCCCGAGAAATAAGAGGATTCCCAAAGAAAAATAGGAATTTGTAGCTTACCTGTGTACATATAAAATGTAGTATTGCCCTTATAAGTCTTTGTGACCCATCAAGCTGAATGGGAGGCTGCCAGATGCTTAGCAAGCCTCTCCTTTTTGCAGTCATACACAGGCAGCAACAAACAAACAGGAAGGGTTTTTTGGCCCCTGATGGGCCACTGTACCTGGCAGGTGAGCTGCGTTTGGCTTGCTGGGTCACAGTGTGCAGGCCTACTTGAAATAAAGTAGCTGTTGACAACCATAGACTTAGGAAAAGTTCTGCTGGATCCAGCCAAAGGCTCATCTTGTCCAGCATCTTGTTCTCACAGTGGCTCACTAAATGCCTGTGGAAAGCCCACAGGCCGGACTTGAGTGCAGCAGCACTTTTCCCAGCTTGTGATTCCAGCAACTGGTATTCAGAGTGGGACACAGGCATCATGGCTAGTAGCCTTTGATAGGCTACTTCTATAAGTTCTTAGAAGTCATAGAATCATAGAGTTGGAAGGTACCCAGAGGGGTCATCTAGTCCAGTCTCCTGCATGCAGGAATCCCACCCACAGCCATCCCTGGGTGGGCTCAAACCACCACCCTTCTGGTTAACAGCAAGACACACTGACCCATTGTGCCACCAAAGTGTCATACAGTGGTGCCCCACAAGACGAATGCCTCGCAAGACGGAAAACTCGCTAGACGAAAGAGTTTTCCGTTTTGGAGGTGCCTCGCAAAACGAATCTGCTATGGGCTTGCTTCGCAAGACGAAAATGTCTTGCGAGTTCCTGGGTTTTTTTTTCCTTTCCCCCCTCTTTTTCTAAGTCGCTAAGCCGCTTATCTGCTTATCCGATAAGCTGATAAGCTGCTAAAAGCCGCTAAAAGCCGCTAAAAGCCGCTAATAGCGCTAATAGCGCTAATCCGCTAATCCCATCAATGGGCTTGCTTTGCAAGACGAAAAAACCGCTAGACGAAGAGACTCCCAGAACGGATTCTTTTCGTCTTGCGAGGCACCACTGTACTTCAGTTGACAACTTCTAAGGTCTCATATAGAAGATGCACACTGGCGAGGTGGGCGTGGTCTTGTAAATTGGAAGATTTAGTACTGTCCCAGTGCTTGACAGTCAAATGCAGCTTTCATAATCCTAGCAAAAAGCTCCAGTTAGCTTAATTATAGCCTCAATAATTTTATGAGGATGAACAGAAAACAGTAAATGGCTCCCTCTTGATTGTATTTGCAGTGACTGTGGCTGAAAGGCACTCACTGGAACTGGTGAATATATCATTTCAGTAAATGATACTATTTTTCTTTCTTCCTCTGCTCCTTTTCCAGGTGATTTAGTGTCACGAGCAATGCACCATATGCAGTGTTTAAACACGCTCCGCCCTGGCATGAGTCCTGTACGACAAAACAGGCAGCAGCAGCAACCTATCTCCTGGTCCCCTGATGCCCTCCACACCCTTTATTATTTTTTACGCTGCCCTCAGATGGAGTCTATGGAGAACCCCAACCTGGATCCGCCAAGGATGGCCTTGAATAATGAACGGTAGGTCATGGTTAACAGAGCCTCATTTGGGGGCACACGACCTTTTAAGCCATATTGATAGTTCTGCTGAATTTCATGTATCAGTGATTCCTGTAAGACGGTGCCTTTTCTTCACTTTCGCAGCTAATTGGAACTAGAACTGGAAAGTGAGTTACCTTGGTCACTGATTTGTGCAGCTAAGGGATATCTTGTATAATTATCCTCAACACGTTTATCAAAGCAGCCATTCCCAGATGTCCAGAATTGGCCTAGCGTGGGGGGTGCAGGGGGGCCCGGCCGCACCGGGCGCAACATCTGGGGGTTAGGGTTAGGGGGCGCAAATCCACGGGTTAGGGGGCGCAAATCCACGGGTTAGGGGGCGCAAATTACTTGCCTTGCCCCGGGTGCTGACAACCCACGCTATGCCACTGTACAGAAATTGTGTTTTCCAGTGTCCAGAATGTATTTCTCTCTGTGCATGGATCCCATGGTGGTTGCTCAGTTTCTGCTTTGCAACCATAATATCTAGTCGAAATTGTTATTTGCTTATCTGTTTGAAATATTTGTGCTCTGCCTTTTGCACTGAAAAGTCTTCAAGACATCTTACAGTCCAAGAAAAAACAATATCCGATCCAGTCCACACGCATCAAAACAGCAAAACTCACACCAGACAATAGTAGATTCAGCAGCAAACTAGAAAGGTAACAAATAACAAAGATCATGTGATCACTTGCCAAGAGCTCAAGGGAATTAGATGTTTTTAATTTGACACCTAAACGGTAGAAGGTTGGAAACCAGAGTATGACTGTACCTTCAGTTCTTGTTTTATCCCTAATATTTTAATCCTGCTTGGCACCCAGCTTCCTTTTCCTCAGCTCTGTGAGAAGGGCCATAATGCAGTGGTTCCCAAATAGCTGAGGAAGCATGTCCTTTAAATTTATGGTGTGGATCTGTCCCCACAGCTAAACAGTGTAGTCAGTACTGAGCTAGATGGTCTCACTCAGTATAAGGCAGCTTCCTGTGTTCCCCTCTCTGCTCATCCCTCCATCTGACATCACACCATAATTTTTTAAGCGCTCTAGTTTTGCTTGAAATGGGCTGGCTCAGAATTCTGCAGAGCAGAGGGGATGAGTCTTGGCTTCCTTTCCCAACCACTGCTCTGAGGAGCCAAGGGAGGCAGCACTTCCCCCATGACACCATCACTCATCTCACTTCCCCTGGCCCTCATTGCAACACACTTTGGCCTTGTAAGAGGCCCCCGGTGATGGGGTTGGGGCCTGGGGAAGGAATCAATATATTTGAGCAAATCTTGTGAACTGTAGAGCCTGACTTTCTATATGGAGGCATTTTGGAAGGTGTTGTGCAATTAAAACGCCACAGCTACATGTCCTGGTTATTCAGAAGAAACTGTGTATTTAAATAAGATACATTCTAAGGGAAAGAAACTGCCAATGATGAAGGAACCCTCTCCCCATGGGCTTTCAAACAGAATACCACAGTTGTTGTTGTTTTATGTTGCTGTGGCTAGAAGAAAAGATGGAAGTGGTTAAAAAAAAAGAAAAAGAATTCCCAGGAGGTGCATAGCTGGTCACAGGAAATGTATCACAAAAGGCAAATGTGGTAGGTTCACTGCCCTTGACAATACCGCAAAGCAAGAGTAACTCTCTTAAGAGCATCTCCATCTTTCTTCTTCTTTTTGTAAATGTAATGGTCGTGAAGGATAAAAAGAGATCTGAAGAGCACTTCTGGGGCTTGAAATTGCTATCCCTAGTGTAGAGGTCAGTCATCGTTTTGCAAGATGCCTTTGTGGGACAGAAAATATGAGGATGTTTTCTCATATTCTCTTCTTGACATGTCGTTATTCCTATGACAGCTCAGCGTGATGCCACCATGCTGACCACATCTCATTTTCCCTGTTGCATACAGAGAAGGGCTCTGATTAGAGTGGGATGCACATTCATATATAAGCATATTTTTTTTGTCCTCCCCGCAAACTCCTCTTCTCATGGGCTTCGTGCCAGAGAGGAAAAACACCAGGATTCCTTTCCAGGCTGCGGCTCTAGTTTATTTCTTAAAGCAATGTTATATATACTGCAGAAACCTCTATTATTACTGACTGAATCCATGTACAAGAATTGCACAGTAATGTTTAAACGATATGCACTTGTGGGCTTTGATTCAACAGAGCAAGTGCACTTCAACTGTAGCTTCAATCCCATTAATCAGCTGTTTGGCAGGGAAGAGGAGAGTTTGCATCTGTGTGGGAGGGGGTGACTGAATGCAGCCTCCCATTTAGCTCCAAACAGCTGATCAGTGGGATTCCGATTTTTTTAAAAAAAAATAGGGATATGCATACACAAGCCTTGGCTGCCTGGTTCAGATTTGGGAACTGTGTGTGCCAGATCCATTTTTCATCTAGCAAGGGATATGCCTGAGGAAGCCAGGTTCCATGCAGTTTAGTTTTTAATCAAAACAGGTTGAACAAATGACAGGCTTTAATGTAACCTGGAAGTGAACAAAGATCCCAAAATATCTGGCAGCCAGCTATACCGCAGTCAACAAATATCCAATGAGCCTTTGAAAATATTCCAAAGTATATTTTGTGTGTTTTACCACAATGACCCCAATGCCTGTCATTTAATGTGGCCAGTGGGATGAATGCTGCAGAGGATACTTTCCTGCACTAAAGTCCATTCTTTCCTTTCCAGCAAGAGGGAAAAGTAAACGGAGGTTGCCTTTGAGTGTGCCAGGCGCACAGCGCGATGCATAAAGGCACTGATTCACTTACGTTGTCTTGGCAAGGCTATAGAGCCAACCCTCACCTCTCCCCACTTTTAGCTGTCTGTTGTAAATCAGCTGCAAACGCTGCCCTGCTGCATTGTGTAGCATTGCTGCTGTTGTTGTTGTTGTTTTCTGGAACATGCTTTTGATGTGCATTGTAGACCCAGGAACAATCTTAGTCACATATAAGGGGTGATTACCAGCTATGCTGTGGCTTTTTAGTTGCCATGCAAAACCTACTGGTGTTAAACAGTCATTCTAAATAGCAAGAAATATAAAGGGAATTATTGGCAAAGGCCCATTTTTTGCGAAAAAGTGAACTTCCTTTTCATCTGGAAGAAACTATTGGGTGGAAGAATTCCTTACTTATTAGTCTGTTGATTGCTTACCTTTCTCTTGCTCCCCTTTGTTCACCCCTTATTGGTTTTTCATCTGTACTTTTGAGAACACCGTTGTCTACTGAATCATGGGCATAAAAAAATGAGTCTGCTTAGCACTAATTAGAATTGGGCCTTCAAATCTCTGCATGAATAAAAATAGTATTTAATGTTTGTTTATAGCTTTTGGGAATTCAAAGTGGTTTCATGTGCACTATCTAGTTATAATCCTTACAACAACCTTGTAAAGTAATCTGTATTACTATTTTCCCATATTGTAGATGGGTAATGGCAGCTGAGAGAAAGTGGCTTGTGACAGAGGCAGGATTCCAACTAGGGCCTTCTGTTTGGTAGGTCAGTCTTTTAGCCACTACAGTGCGCCAAGTCTCATTACCTTGACATAACTCATGGAACATTCTCCTTAGCAATGCTTTGAAGATAACCCTTAGACTGGGAAGACACTCTGGGGTGGGGAGTGGCTAAATCTCTTCTCCCAGTGGCAGAGGCTGAGGTGGGAAATTGCACCAAGCACAGTATATGTAAGTCAGAATCTGTGGATGTGGGAAGGGTTAAGCACCTCCTACCTGCTAGTTCTTTCCTACTCAGGACTTGGTCCTGCATTACCCCTGCAAACATGGGTTGGAAACATACATCAGCCAATACGACATGTAGTTCCACCTTTAATGACCAGGTGGAGTCTTCACTGCTATGAGCTTGTTTGACAAATGTGTTATTTCTCTGAAAACCTAGTGGAATCTATGCTAGCAGCACATGTGGTTTTATTTATTTATTTTCCAATCCATCCCTCCCTTGCAACCACCCTGCGAGCTAATTTAGCTCCTAGCCCCAGGCCACTCACTGAAAACAAATGTGAAACCCAATTTCCCAAGCCTGGTACTAGCTGTGGCACCATTCTGCCTCTTCTTTCTAAGTCAACTAATGCTACGCCATTCGCTGGAAGATCATTATGAATTTGGGGCCATTTAAAGGGGTAACGACTACAACACCAACAGAACTCTGACTTTCTGGCGCTAGAAACTGCGCTTACCTGGAAAGGTGTTTTGCAATATTCAGAATGCTACACCTGTGTCCTAGAATGTGAGTACAAGCCTCTTTTCACATTGCAACAAATCCCCTGTTGCCTGGCGGGCGGGCGGGCAATGCCTTGGAGATGTCACTATCGGCAAACACATCTTGACAGGACACATATGCTTCTGCTCCAGCACTTTTTGGGTTTCTCAGAGAGATCCTGAAAATTGATGAGATATGTGGAAAGCAAGCAGAGGTGTGGCGACAATGCACCTGAACATCTGCTCTGTTTCCTTTCCATCACTAAGGTTAGCATTCATTTGGTTATACGTTAAATGGACCTGAGTACATTGTGAAAATATCAGAGAGAAGGATGCATTGACCCTTCAGTCCATTCACACTGCCCTGTTTCCCAACTCACCACAATGTACAAAATGCTCAAAATTTGCTAAGAGTGTAGCATTTTGTTCTGACTGGCGGCAAGGGAACAAAACAATCAATCTGCAAGCTTGGAGGTGGTCCAACTTGGTACCCCCATTAGGTTCTTTTGATGAAAGCCAGTAAGCATTTTATTTCAGAGGTGAGGGGGAGTATGCCGTCCAGCTAGAAATAAAAATTCAGAAGTTGCCAACTTGGTGGAAACGGAATGTAGGCTGGAAAAACTGTGAGCGCTGCAAAAAGAGAGAGGAGGCTTTAATGAATGCAGGGAGGCCAGCTAGCTTGAACAAGAGAGACCTTGTTCTGGCTTTGGTACACTAGGGGCCCTCAAAATGTGTCAGGTTTTGTTGCAACGAGGCTGTTTGTGAGATGGATGCAAAGCAATACAGTATCAGTTGTCCACTGTGCACTTCAATGGAGATTGGTGGTGCTGATGTTATGTACCAGATTATTATTTTTTAATGACGTGCAAATTTCTTGTTTCAAAGAGATGCCTCCTCTTACACTTATTACTTCCACAGGGCTAAAATCCGAAAGCATTGTAAGATCTAATAAGAAAAATATAAAGCGTTGTTGTTGTCATCTGATGCCTGCAACTTGGTTGTCAACATCAGAATAGGATATTGATGGAAATTTGCTAGGATCAGCACCCCGCCTCCCCGGAAATGAAAGTAAGGGAAATCCCTACAGCTGCCACTGCCACTATGGACCCCACTTCCCTGGACTTGAAAAAGCCTGTAGAAGGGTTGTGCATGGATTCTCACAGAAGCATAGTACCTGTGGTATCTGTTGCATTACAGAACTGTGGCTTTTTAATGAAAATAACTCCACGTCTCGTTAAATGGTGGGAAAGAACTGTATGCCAGGTACTGCCCTAAATTTCATCATGTGAAATTAAAACACAAGACTCCAATGCAGTCTCTCATCCAGGCACTGACCAGACCAAGGCCTGTTTTTCTTCAGCAAGGTGGTGGGTGGCCTCTAATGTCTTCAGGCCATTCCCTGGTCTGGCTTCGGTAAGATTTCACAGCACCTGATTTTAGCAGATGTGCAATAAAATGGACACCTTCCCAGACAGCAGCTCATATAGTGGATTGTCTAATTTTAAGAAGACCACCTGGCCACCTTTAGAAGACTCCCATAAGAGGCAGTGATGACCACCAACTTGGATGACGTTAAAAGAGGATTAGATGGATTTGTGGAGGATAAGGTTATCAGTAGCTGCTAACCCTGATGGTTATGTTCTGACTCTGCTGTTGGGGGCAATATGCTTCTGAATACCAGTTGTTGGGAAGCACAGGAAAGGAGAGAGCTGTTGTGATGTGGGCCTGCTTGTGAGCTTCCCATGGGCATCTGGTTGGCCACTGTTAGCACAGGATGTTCGGTGAGATGGGTCTGATTCAGCAGGATCTTTTTACGTTCTTACTACAAACTAGAACTTCCTTCTTACTGCGCCTTCTGCCTTTGGAATATTTCTTACAATAATTTCTGCAAGATTGTTGTTCCTGAGAAACAACACTTCTGAGGCCTGGGGTGGGTGACAGGACAGAATTCTGCCATGTTAATATAGTGGCCTTATTTTAGGATGAATGTTTTTTTAAAAAATAAATATGGTAGATTCCTGTAATCCATATTTTGTGATGATAAAAACTCATTCTGTTTGCTTTCTCCCCCATGACATGATAGTCCTGTGTAAGCAGCACTCCCATTTAGATCATCTGTCTTATGTGAGAAGTCAAGTTGTATTGTTCATAATCAACCCCCTAGGATTGCAGGGGGGTCCTCCTCTGTCTCCTGAGACTTTATATAATATGAGCAAAACTGATGAAACAAGAACTCCATTGACTTTACATAACATCATGGACTTAGCTGACCGTTTTTACTTGCAGAGCACAAGAGACTTTCCTGAACCTTAACATCATGAGATTCTTATGTGACTCAGTGAATCTAATTTTTTTTAACAGTATGTTCCTTAAACTTGTGCCCCTAGTAAACAAAAGTGTGATTCTCTGGCCAGATAGATTGTAGCCAAAAACAAATGTTTACAATAGTAGACAATTTAGAGATGGCTGAATATTTAAGGCAGGCAACCCTACTACTAGACTTTACCCTAAGCCTTATGTTCATCAGCTATATTCAAGAAAGAAGTTACCATAGTAGAAACTACTCAGCATCTACATGTCTGCCTTAGATGTCTGTGCTGGGTTTCAGCCTGCAGAAGATGCCATAATTTCTTATATTTTGCAGATACAGCGATCCACATGCCCTGTCCAAGGCATTTACTTCCCAGACTCCAAGTCTCAGATCAGACTATTAGTGGTTTGTGACTATTTTGCATTTTCCTGTAAAACAGTTCACATCGGATAATGCACAAAATATGAAATGTTTCATCTGAGTTTCTAAAACGACATCAGAAGAGATCACATTTCATTTTTGAAAACCCCAGAGAATTAACCAGTAATACTCCTTCTCTACACAGATGAGGGAAAGTGAGTCCAAAGGGGCTGTGGGGCCATGCTTTTAAGTACACTGCTGTCATCTTCCTGGCTGTTCACAAATTCACTAGTACTTTCTGCAGCAGGGAGCCGTTTCTACTTATTTGGCCTGGTTTGCATGCTGGTGCACAGAGACAAAATCTCAGCTGCCTTATTCCTCTCCTGCTGCTTCCAGTTCCACCCAGAGCTAAGCCATAATTTGGCTTAGTGTTATGTCTGAAACCAGGCTTGTGGTTTGTCTTGCTGTAAGCCAAACCATGGATTAGCCCATGGCAGTGCAACAGCAGCAGGAGTCGGGGAGGAGCAACTAGCCATGAGCAACTAGCCATGTGCACCCATCATGCTTGCTCATCCATGCCAAGCCATAGTTTGGCTTACTATTACATGCAAACAAGGCCATAGAGGCGCCCCACTTAACTCTAAATCCTCTATGGCAACTCTTGCCTCTATGGCCTCAGAGACACCCCATTATAAAACAGTCTCTGTCCTTGACCATCCCTGCTATGCTTGTCCAAAACTGTGTCCTTGCTAGCTTTCCTAGGTTTCAGGAATATTCTTGGCTGGTTTTATGGGAATGAGGTAGGGTTATATTTTTGAAAGCAGTAGTGAATGCTTCTAGCCACGAAGACATTTAGGCCTTTCTTCAGGCATCAGGTTCATGACTAAATAGATGTTTACAGGTTTGCAAATAGCTTTACCTGTCCTCACTAGCCACTGCTTATAAAACATAGCCTCTTGAAGCTTTATTTACTGTATTAGCAGATGCGTGCAGTGTCTTTTTGGATTTCTCTCCAGAATAAGCCTCAAAAAGGCAAGCGGAAAATCAAGCTATTTTGCTTGCTTAGTCTGACCAGGAGCACAGTTTGTTATGCTGTGCTGTACTTTTCAAAACTGCAAGCTTCTGTCTTCCTTCTGCAGTTCCCTTGATCACAGCAGGATGTGAAGCTGCCACACTAACAGAAATGACTGGAATTGCATGTGTGGAGTCCCAGTTCACACAATACAGGTCTTCACACAATGCCCATACTAAGGTAATCAAGTGAGAGTGCCAGGACATGTGACAAGCATCCCTTTTGTATAAGAGGCAGCATGCATGCCATGTGGCATTAGGTGCCATAGTGCTTTCACTGCTCTTTCACTTGCTGGAAACATGGCAGGTGTTGCCAGTGGGGCTATGCCACTTGCTTAAATCAGTTTTAAAGAGCCCATACAGACTAATGGGAGAGCATAAAACTGCTGATGGATACGCAAGCAGGCAGCGGAAGAAAACGGCAATGGTACAAACCAGATGCTTGTTTGTTTAGCACAAAATGATTATTACCAACCCAAATGAACAGCAGACTGGATCTCTGGCATAATTTGAGGCAGGTCTCATCAAGGCTTAGTCTCAGAGCTTGTGTCTACCATGACGGTTCAGCCATGAAACAGAGGAAGCAAGAAGAAGAAGAAGAAGAAGAAGAAGAAGAAGAAGAAGAAGAAGAGGAGGAGGAGGAGGAGGAGGAGGAGGAGGAGGAGGAGTTGTTGTTTGGATTTGATATCCCATTTTATCACTACCCAAAGGAGTCTCAAAGCGGCTAACATTCTCCTTTCCCTTCCTCCTTCACAACAAACACTCTGTGAGGTGAGGCTGAGAGACTTCAGAGAGAAATGTGAGTAGCCCAAGGTCACCCAGCAGCTGCATGTGGAGGAGCGGGGACGCAAACCTGGTTCACCAGATTACCGCTCTTAACCACTACACCACACTGGCTCTCGTGTGGTGAGATGAGCCTGCTGGATCAGGTCAGTGGCCCATCTAGTCCAACATCTTGTTCTCACAGTGACCAGTGGGAACCTTGCAAGCTGGGCATGACGGCAACAGCACGCTCACCACTTGTCATCCCTGCAATTGGTATTCAGAAGCTTGCTGTCTCTGAGGGTGGCAGGAAAACACAGCCATTGTGGTTGTATACAGAAGAGTGTCTCTGGACATGTCTCCTCATTTCACGATTGACCAAGCACATCCAGGTGGGATTAGGGGTAGGAGTTTCCAAGGAGATTTTCAAACACATTTGGATCTCAAATATTAAGCTGCAGTACTAAACCATGGAAGTGTCCAATGTATCAGTGATGCCCAGATTGTACTACAGGACACAGTTGAGTGGAATTCGCAGTCTCTGGCCTATAACTCATTAAGGTTGGACCTTGGAGTCAGGGCTTTGTTTTTCATCCAGAACTCACTAGAACTCAGTTCCGGCACCTCTCAGGTTGGCACCACTGCCATTCAAAGAGGGAGGTGTTCATGGTGAGTTCTGGCACCTCTTTTTCCATAAAAATAGCACTGATTAGTGTTAGGATCGCTCTGCCCTTGCACTTTACAAATTCGGTCTACGGTTACTGACTATCGCACGTACAAGAGAGCACGTAACAGCCAAATTGGGCAGCATGACTGAGCACAAGCTTAGTTACTTAAACAGTTTTGAATATAGAATGATCTCATTGTGTGTCATTTTAGCAGTTTGCAAACATTATAATAATTGCCCTTTCATCACTTGAGGTTAATATAATTTCCTATTGGACTAAATTACACATCCCAGGGTGCAGGGATCTCTTGTTTCCTGAGGAAAAATGTGGTCTGTTCTGAAACAATCAAGTCGTCCTAAACATAAGCGCATGGTGTTGAGCCTGCCTTTGACAATAGTCTATAGTTGGGTTTGACTTGGGCTTCCTCTTTCCTTGTTTATATCTTCATCACAAAGAAGGCACTAATCACTGAGCTGAGGAAGGAATGGAACTTGCTATATATTTCTATAACAGAAATGTCTCATTGTCTGCTGTATTGTTTTAGGATTATCTTAATGATTTGTTGATAATTTTCATTGCCATTTTTTGTTTTGCTGTGTTCTTAAGACCGTTGTTAGCTGTCCTAGAAGGGGATAGGGGAATAATCAGACTGAAAGGCAGTTCCTCCCCCACCCCCACCCCAACAATAATATGCATATCTGTTTGTAACCATAGATCAGGTGAATTCTTTTAAAAGGATAACTTGTCTGTGTCAGACAAATCCCTCTCAAATCAGTCACCTGTCTACATTTATTACAATTCTTTGTCTCTTTATTGTGGGAGAGAAAATTAAATTAAATTGTGAGTTTAACATTTTTAGTAGGGGGGTAGCAAATGGGAAGAAGAGACTCTACATTTAAAACACAACTTGAAAACAGAAAGTATCACAGTCTTGAAGCTGATAGTATTGCTTGAGTTTGTGAGGTACGAGACACCCTAAATTCCTGAGTTCAATAAAAGTTAGAATTAATCAAGATTCGGCGAGTTGAACTGTGCCAAACACTGAACGCCTGGTTTCAGCTTATGTTGAAAATGCAAGCCAGGCCAGCTTAGTAAGAGTTTGCTAAATGTGGGTCGTTAGGGAAACAAAGCCTGATAATGACCAAATCATTAACATAACAAAAGGTAGGCAGAGGGGCCATCAGGAGATTCAGTACCAGATAGCAAAATGGGTGAAGCCCCTTCCTGGGCCCTGGTTTAGTTAGTAAGACCAAAGACCAGTGGTAGTTTTTAAGACTGCAGTTTGCCTGATGTTGGTGGAATGAAAACCTTTTCAGTCTGTTAGTGCCAACAGGCACTGGTTCCAGGGTCAGAGCGCAAAGCAGGCTGCCTGCTTCTATGCTGCAGGAAGGAGTCAGAGAGCATGGCTGTTTTCTGTTTTGGATTCAAGGCTCTTGCACCTGTTGGAGAAGCAAGAGACCCACTTAGAGTTCAGTGCTATGGACTCCTCCATTGTAGGCTGAGGTTGTCTATATGTGTAAATAAACCATATATCATAAAGACACCACAGTCCGCTGTGCCTCATTTCCAATGGAAACACGAACCCTGGGTAATCTCTCATCACTTGGAAATTGGGGTGGCATAGAACAGTATTCTAGGTCATGGCTGTAACAGTCACATAAATGTGATTACAAGCTTTTCCTAGATTCTGCCCCTAGGGCAAAATACAAGTTTGTGGTTAGAGAAGAGGAATCTCATGTAACAGGAAACACAAGTTCCTCTCAGTGCTGCACATGCTTTGTCAATTATCTGGGACAACCACATAGCCTTGTTCCAAAAATTCTTTTACCTTCTGAATGAGTGTTATAAAACTCCCTTTGCATACCTGCCACCATTTTATAAATGAAAAGATGGACTCTTCTTTGTGTATTTGTAATACCCCTATACTGTACATCGAAGATGGTTACACCAAGCCCCATAACATATTGCACAAGGCTGCTCTTTACTCGCCTCCTGTTGTATTCATTTACTCTGCATCTGTCTGTCTGTAACTACCACAGTTGGGGTTTTATTTTGGTAATTAGCTAGTTTTATACAGGGTTGCCATATTTCAAACAGTGAAAATCCAGACAGAAAAGTTGCTTTTGGGGGGAGGGGGGCAAAGTTGTTCAGCTATTTTAAAGGGAAATCTCCACCTCCTCCATTCCTGCAGGGGGAGCCACTACTAGGTCTCTGTTTGTTCCAAGGATGGATGGAGCCCTTCTGTTTGCAGAAGGGAAGTCTTGACCCCACCCATGAGGTACTCTCTGTAGAAGGATTGAAACTTGAAATAGCAGTCCACTTAGGAGCATACCACCAAACTTAGAAGAAGCAAGTGTAGCTACAGTGGCTTTTAAGAATAGGATATTCTCTCGTGAGAGGCCATGAAACCATAACAACATGAAGTAGAACCAGGCAGAGGGGCTTCTTGGTAGTGGTGCCCACCCTGTGGAATGCCCTCCTATCAGATGTCAAGGAAATAAACAACTATCTGACTTTTAGAAGACATCTGAAGGCAGCCCTGTTTAGGGAAGTTTTTAATGTTTTATTGTGCTTTTAATTCTGTTGGGAGCATGGGAAACCCAGCCAGATGGGCAGGATATAAATTTATTATTATTATTATTATTATTATTATTATTATTATTATTATATCTAGTTGTTTCTGATTTCAGGTTCAGGGGATGGTTGTCGTGCTGTACTATACGTCTTCAGCAATGGAGTGCTTCTCATGTATTGTTAATATTAGCATTTGACTTGCAACTTTACAGGAAAAATGATCTCTGGAGCTCTTGAGAGACTCCAGTTAATTATCTGCTGCAGAGGAAAAAAGAACCCACCCTAATTTAACATTCCACTAGGAAAACACTGGCATCTACTTCAAATGGGAATTGAGTTACACAAAGATTGCACACGCAGCAACAACAGATTGTGTACAAATGCAACATCAATCAAATACTTCAAAAATAATTCTGTCTGCTCTGCAGTGGTGCTGATCAGCCATTTCCCCTACATGTTACTTTTCTTCATCTTAGACTGTCTGGTGCTTATTAGAAACTCATTTAGTTTTTGAAAATTGTTCTCGGAAAAATTATGTTCTTGATAGGCCTAAGAACCGAATTAAGTCTGCCACATTGGAAACTTTTAGTACAAAATTAATAAAATGGCCTATTTCCCCCATCCTTCAGAACTGATCAAATGTTTATGTGACGGATCTTTTTTTATTATTATTGATTGATTTTGCAACATACAACCTGAATCCTTTGCTTGTTTGCAGTTCTGAATTTGCTGAGACTTATTCCCTAGTAAGCATGTGCCGGGCCACAACCTTCGCAGCTTTCAGAAATTTGCTACGGTATCTCTCTGTCCAAAGGGTTTTCCAACATTCTCTTCAAAATTAATTGCAGGGTTGAATATTGCAGATGAATCCTGAGTATTGAAAGCAATATACAAAAGAAAAATACACAACTTCTTCCTGTTCAGTGCAGATCACTGTTTAAATGCAGGAGCCACTCCTTCCAATGGAAAGCAGTGCAAGGTCAGAACACAGCCCTGTTGAAACAAATGAAACAGACCTTATGGGAAAGGGAGCTCTTTGGGCATTTCTAGGTTCTGCACCAGGCTTCCTCAATCTCGGGCCTCCAGCTGTTTTTGGCCTACAACTCCCATGATCCCTAGCTAGCAGGACCAGTGGTCAGGGATGGTGGGAACTGTAGTCTCAAGACATCTAGAGGGCCAAGGTTGAGGAAGCCTGTTCTGCACCTACAGCAGTTTTCTGGGTCAGTCCAATAATCTTTGTATCCTTAAATTGGAGGCATATTTTTGCTCTTGATCTTAGGTGGTGAAAGTAGAAAGTAGTATTGGTTTGCACATCATGCTATGCCAAACTTTGGTTTAGTGTGACTGCATACAGGAACCTGTGGAGGAGCTCTCAGCCATGGTTTGGCTTAGTGCAAACCAGTTTCACGGAAGCAGGGGTGACAACTTGAAAAAAATATTAGGAGGGGGGCAGGCAAGCCCCACCTCACATAATCAATCACAATACGTGGCACATGCACACCATTTGAATGGTGATGCCCATTAATGGGGGGGGGTCAAATATTTTATTGGGGGAGCTGAAGGGACCTTGGCCCCTAGAAG